GCCGCGGGATCACAGCTCTCCGCCGCCCAGGGCTCTCGCAGTGCGCCCCGCTTCGCTCCAAGTTACTTTGGCGGCCGGTGGGAAACTGCGGAAGGAGACCTCCGTGTGGATGGGGCTTCGCGCCGGTGGCCTCGTCTGTGCCTTAACTGGGCAACCCCCAGAAATCGCGGAGGAGTCGTAGGTGTTGCGGGTTCAGGGCGGTGCGCTGAGAAGGGTGGGGATCCGGAGCCACAAACCCAGCCCCGCCGGCGTCCTGGAACGGGTTAAGCGGCAACGAAGCTGGCGAGGAGCGGTCTTGCTTCGCAAACCTCAAAAAAAAAGTTTGGCTCTCCGTGTCTTCCAGCAGGTCCCCGGCGGAGTCGGACTGCAGCGGCGGCGGCGGCGGGAGACAGCACCGCAGGCGCTGGCCTCGGGGATTTCTCGCGCGTGCTTTTCTCGGCCGGGTGTGGGTGTACCGAGGTGAACGAAGAGCAGAGGTTACCAGCCAGCCAGCCGGGCGGAGCTGGGATGACTAAACCTGCAGGACGACGCCAACCCAGGAGCTCGGCTGCAGAGCGGGAGGGGAAACAATCACTTTCAAATGAATCCCTCCAACTCCTGGATGGGCTGATGTCAGTCTCCGATCGCCTTCCGGGAGCAGGAATGAGCCCCCGGACGCAGTGCCAAGAGCCCCGAGTGCGCTCTCAGAAGTCTCTCCGCGACTCCGATGGGTTCGGCCCCAAGCCCAGCAACTTGTAGAGACGCATCAATCAGTTTGAAAGGGAGGGTGGGGGGAGCGCACGAGCGAGTGGCACCTCCCCGATGACTACATCAGAAAACCTTTCCGATCCTCCCGCAGCTGCTCGTCTTCCCCTCCTTGGGCACAGCAGCAACAAGAGGTGAAAACCACCAACCGAATCCTAAAACCCCTACCGGGCGGGAAAATAAACTTGAGTGCAGCGGCGGCGGCAGCCCGGGAGGGATTGAAACGGCTGGCGAGAAGTGGAAAGGGGTAAAAGTCAGTTTTGCAAAAGAGAAAAAAAAGGGGGGGGGGTGCTTTATGGGAAAAATCTCCTCGGGCACGCCCCCTCGTTAATGACCTGCGTGTAAAGCCAACAGCAGCCGCGACCCAGCAGCCGCACGAGAACGCGAGGCGGCCCGCGTGAACGTGGACAGGGGAAC